GCGGGAGCGTGTGTCTACTGCCTTATACAGGAGATTTTGTTTTTTTAAATTTTATCTTATGTTCTTCAATATGCAGATGTGTGTATTGTATTGTATCTGAAATTTTCTTTCATAACAATATTCTGTATAGGCCTACTACTATATTACACTAAAAACATTTTAAAAATGAGTAACTCTTGGAGTTACCACGTTATGTCGTTGATCACGAATAGTACTACCATGTTCTAGAGGGCGTCCTTCAAATGACGGTAAAATGCGTTTGTGGCGAACGCGTGCTGCGTCTCTATAACACGTGTTCGAGTTTCGAACGCAATTTTGTTCGAGTTCCGACGCTATTTGATTGTCAATAGAGCGCCCCCCCTACCTCGTGGTAGTAGTACCAATCATGCCTAAATCGGAATTAAACTTTTCCGCCATCTTTAATCGCTACATCATGACATAGTGTCTACGCCCCCGTTGGGGACAGTAGACACAAAAATCAAGAGTACGGTTGTGCCACTGTGTAAACAGCTTAAAGAAATTTAAGGAATGTACAACTCTGTGAAAAACCACAAATACGAATTCTCAGTTACATGAGGTTTCCGTTGAAGCTGATGAACAATAGATCTCAGTGATGGTGGTACTAGTTCAAGTACTGTAATCAAAAGTACACTGAATCTGTTCAAAGGTACGTATGTGGTTACATGTGACGTTAAAAATAGTATGGTACTGTATCTTGTTCTAAAAATATGTACTTTTAAGCAATAAAATATGTACTTTTAAGCAATGTGCAACTCTGTGGAAAACGACAAATACGAATTCTCAGTTTACATGAGGTTTCCGTTTAAGCTGATGAATATAATAGATCTCAGTGATGGTACAGTACGTGTGTGGTTACATGTAACGTTAAAAATAGTATAGCACTGTATTTTATTCTAAAAATATATACTTGACTTCATTGATAAGCACTAAGCCTCTATCAGACGAGCTCACAGGAAGGCCTGTTTCCTCAAATCGTCACCGTTTTCACGAAGAGACACCAACTTCAATTTCAACGAAAATGTTTTGAGAAAAAAACGCGTTTAAAGTGGACTACTTCACAAATCCGTAAATTTCACTATCAAGATAACGAAATTTTTAATATTTTTTTACATATGTTTAAAGATAAAGCACTAAACAATCCAAACGAGTAATTTAAAAATCTATAAATCTATAGTAATTAATATTTATCAAAACTAACTTAAGCAAATAATATTTATCAATATTTTTTACGTCAGTTTTTTCTACAATTAAAACATCACTACCTACATTTAATATTGTATTATACTTATACTACATTGCTACTTATTTGAAATGAAACAATTAAAATTTATATTATCACAGTAACCTTAACATGCTCTTTGAATTAGTTTGTTTAATTATTTTTCACAGACCAGAAGTTTTATAAGGGTGAACACAGAATCAAGTGAAATGGAAGTTGGTGAACCACAGCCAAATCAAATGTAAAACAGACAGGCCAAACCAGTTACTTGTCGCAAAAATCAATTTTATTTATTAATACATTCCAGCATGTTTTGGCCATTGTCTCTTAAACAGGATTTACGACCAGTGACTGGTTTGATTTGTCTTTCCCACAAGTGCTTCATTCTGCATCATCAGAAAGCTGAAGTCAAGCAGTAAAGAAGTTCTTCCTGGTCAAAGTCATGTTCTCCAAATTTTTGCAAAAAGACACATAATATACTAAGTACTTTTAATAGAGCAAAAACCATAGAGAAATTTAATAGTAAGATGTGAAACATTGAGTGATGGAATTATTTGAGGCTGCTATTGCAAATCAGGATGAAACCTTATTATTACATAAGGGATAAGGATCTGGTAGCAATTCAGAAAAATGGATCAATTGAAAGTACTATTGTCTTATGAATAAAACTGTACACTGACGAATGCTGTTACCTACTTGAAATAAAATCATACCATATACTGTGTTGAGAAATATTACCATATATTATTAAGTTTTTTCTTTGTATAAACAGTTATCAACAACAGATTTATTTTATTTTTTTACATTGACTTTTTTGAATTGCATAGGATTGTATTTTATAATACAATATGAAGAGAATAAAATAACTCGACAGTACTTGCTGATGAGTGATAATGAATACAGCAGAATATTTTCTAATTTCTTTCAAATGTTTATGTTTATATAAAATGGATTGGGATTGAACTCTATACTCAGTAATATGTTTAAAGTTTAAACTGTAAATAACTGGTCTATCCTAATGTTTTAAAAAAGCATTTTCTATACCCATTGCTTAACAATGGGTATAACAAATTTGTTTTTTTGTAGCTTAGATCTTTAGTCTATTGATAGCTATGTCACCTACTAGAGAGGTAATGTTTTGATTGGTTAAACACTTTTGGTACTTGTGCATATAAGCTTGCAAATATGTATATAATTTTTCATTCCTGATGATGACATAATTAATGTCGAAAAAATTGAATCCCGACACAATGGCGTGCATACTTGGGGCTTTACATCTCCCTCATGTATTATACTATCTTATCTGAGATTATTCAGGGGACTTTCGGCTATTAAAATACATTGCCAAATTATGCTCATAACACTGTAGAAATAAGATATGTCCATTATCATGCATATATTCATTTAATGAATTTTAACAAGTCTTTGATACAGCAGGTACCATTTCTTATTCAGTTCAGAAAATGGAACATGCCAAATTCCCTGTGCTGTTTGTTTGTGAGCCAGCACAGGGAATTGAGCTTATTTTTAATATATAACTAAACGTAAATTCAACCCAAAAATGGCAGAGCTAAATAGGCCTATTTGAAGACAAATATTCAGTAAAATGTTTACAATAGCTAGGGCTTATATTTATCACCTTCTGTAAACCGTTTCAACCTAATCAGGGCGTTATAACACCGTAATAGGATGTTATAACGCCGTAATAGGGCATTATAATGCCCTAATAAAAATATTTTTTTTTACTGTTTGGCAGAAATCAGCCACCGTAGTTGCCAGTGGAGGAGCTGGCAGTCAAGGACCTGCCTGAGGGCAGAACACTAAAGAAGTTTTTAAGTTAACCGTTTTTGTAGCTTAAAAGTAATATTGAGGCAGTCGAATGGATTGAATATATTCTGAAAATACATTTTTCTTTGCTTCTAACTCATAGGCTGAACTTCTGCACTACATTGCTTTCAGCGTCCATCGCGCAACACGGCTAAACTGCGGAATTGTTGTGTAATGAAGCTTTCGCTTTTATGGTCTGGCGATCTTGCACTTGGCAACATCCGAAGAATAAAACAAAATTGAATAATAATAGTAAAAACATAATTTTTTAGACTTTTATTTTAGTTGTCGATTCCTAATATATGTAACTATGTCATATGTGAGTTTCATCCATGTTGTTGTAATGATTACTTTCTGAGTAATTATTCCATTTATTAACGAATACCTCAAAACGTTCGTCAAATTTAGCCTAGTCTCACCGAGGGGTAAACAGAAAATTCACAGACCTATTCGAGGCCCTTCACACCGGCGGAGGCGATGTCGCCACACTCTTGCACTTTTTTGGCCTAGCGCGCTCGCACATATGGTAACATCCGATGAGATGAGTATTATGTATTTGCCACGAAAAATACAAAGACATATGCACGCATACTAGGTTCTTTTACAACTCTATTGAACCCTGAAACTCAACACATTAACACAGTGAATAGTATAACAATGTGCTCGCCATGGAACCCAAACAGCATGAGAACGACAACGAATGTGACACAGCACGTCTGCTGATACGCGCGTTGTTTACACTTACGCGTTATGACTATAACCATAAACAACAATAACAACTCTGTAGTGCAGTACACTACAATGAGTTTAAAAATTGAATAGAAAATAGAAAGTTTCTTCGCTTTTTATTTTTGTTGTCAATTCCTAATATATGTAAATATGTCATATGTAATTATCATCCGTGTAGCTTTCATATTTTTGGCACAACAAAAATAAATGTAACCCAGACAGTGTATTAACACTCCAGCCGCCAAACACGGAGATCTCCATGTTTGCTAATGCAACGCTCGACCTCCAAACACGGAGATCTCCGTGTTTCAGGTTTTTGTACGGAATCCGATAGATGGGGTAATTACCAACATGTACTGACAATTTCAACACTATATTCAGTCTGGACCGTAAGTAGTTCGCTATTTGTTTGTTTACATTAGCGTTGTGCGGTATTGATTTACTTTCACGAAATCGCTATTATCTCAGCTTCGTTGTGCAAAATTACGTAATTCTCCAAAAGTGAGTCATTTTCATTTTACTGTTACGGGTCACCGATTGTGATTAGAATAAAATGTTTGGTACCATATTGTAAATCCCAACACAGTAAAGCTAACATGTTTGTAGTTCTTGTAGTGTTCACTACATGTCAATCTGATCACATACACACAATCAACGAGCTTTGGAAAAGTGTTAAAATTTGCTAAAATGTCTGGCAGTGGCTGATACTATTTTTTCAAAACGCTGGTGGTCAGAGTGTTAAGATAGCCTTTCTGCCTCCAGTTAGGGCGCCGCCAGCGTTTCAGCCAGGTCCAATGTAAACATTGGTAAGTGTTATATGGGAGACACTAAACATTGCAAGGGGGGGGGGGGGTCTATATGTAATTTTCGCTGTTTTATTGGCTATTGTCTCCAATGAAATCAATCACTTAACAAGTAGTCCTACCAGCTGTAATCTCAAGCTTTAGCTTCCGGTCCGATCTTCAATTCAAGGTTACTGGGATATCTTTTTAGCAGCACTCTGCATTGCCTACCACCGCTCCGAATTCGGAAAAAGAAAACGGATCAGCTGTTTGTAGCACCAGCGGCCTGACGAAATAGCCTAAAAACTATCAATTAAACTCGAAACTATGAAACTACTTAAAAAGGAATCTGTTTATTGTCAATGTACCTATAAATATAATAATATTACTATTGTTAATAGTAGCGCAGTTGCTTCACCTACCTTCAATTCCTATCTAAATGGTGTACTGTACTTTTCATTTGACACCACCACCAAGTTGAAATTAGTTAAGTTTGACCATGAGTTTGACAGATTCTAGCCGTGAGAGGGCGCATAGCGTGGGAAAGTTACGTTTGTGGAGGTCGTTTTTAAAACAAAACAAGGGATCAGTTTTTAGCTAACAAAAATGATTTGTGAAATTTTTAGTACTGTACAATAGGCTTACTGTAGCAGTAGTGTGTAGGGCCTAGACTGGAGTTCCAAGTTCTATGGCATGTAAAAAACGAAAACGAGAAGCTATTGACGAACAGGACGACGAAGAAGAAAGGTAGGCCTAGGTAGGTAGGGGCCTAGGTAGGCCTACCTAGGCCCTAGGCTAGGCCTAGGCTACCTACCCAGAGAGGCCTAGCCTAGGCTGTAGGAGGGCCTAGCCTAGGCTGTGGTTAAAACAACTACTACTAGCCTAGGCCCTTTCCTCCACCTGTCCGGAGTGAGCCAGCCAGCAAGGACCTCCAGCAAGAAGGGCTAGATTGGGGGGGGGGGTCGGTTGGGGTGTAGGCCTAGGCCTACGTCTGCCAAATAGACTAAAACACCAGGTTATACTAAATAGGCCTAGTAATACTTATGATCCCACCAGTTACCATGAATTTTAAGTTTGTTAAACTTGAAATTACGCTCGTTCTTGCCTGTTGTGCCTGGCCTCTAGCCTAGGCGTCCTTCAATTCAATTGGCCAATTGACATAAATAAAACTTTTTTTTTGCATTTCCTGGGCTATGGTCTTTTTATTATTACCTTTAGTAATAGTTTTAAGCCAAAACTAGGCCTAATATTTACTATATATCATCAGTATTAGGATATTAATCATTAAATTATTTGAATTGGCTAAAAACATATTACCTTTTAAGCCAAAACTAGGCCTAGTATTTATTATAATCATCAGTATTAGGATATTAGTCATTAAATTATTTGAATTGGCTGAAAACATAAAAAAATACAAAATGTGTTTCATACATCGCAGCCGAACTGGTTTGCGATAGGCATATACTCAAGCCAAGTATTTAGAAAGGAAGGAAAAAGAAATCAATCACATGTCCTTTAATCACACTTTACTATTTATATACATTTTTGCAGTGGTATTCTCAAGACATAATTTCATATATTTTACTTTTAGATATTTTTTAAATCCTGAGTCCGTAAGCCGTCATCTGTTTTGCTCAATCTGTCAGGAGGTGTTCATCAAACCACAGCGTGCACCCTGTGGTCATAGCTACTGCAAAAAGGTAAATTATTTAAATAAATTTGCATATTTTCAACACTACCATTTAATTCAGTGATGTATCTAGAGGTACGGTACCGTAAACTATAACGGCCAGATAGTAAATTAAGGCCTGCACCGGAAATATATTCTCCGCGCAAAAATTTGGCCTAGAAATCTGTCCGCGCTTTTTGGAAAATAAGGCCCGAAGGAGTTTAGATAACTGTCATGGAAGTATGATAAAAAAAAATTCTTGTGTATAATTGTGTTTAATAACAATATTTTCCTACTTTTTACCAGTGCATAACGTCATGGTTGAAGCACAAGAAAACCTGCCCAGAAGATAGGCAAGTACATATTATTAGCATCATATAGCAGTGGTGTATCTAGGGCACTCTTTAAAAAAAAACTCCCCCCTCCCCACCCTTCTTATTGAATGACCTCATATCACATTATGTTGTGAGCTAGCACCCCTCAATAAATCTGTCGAGACTCCCCCCCCCACCCTCAAACTTCACCTTCTTCCCCCATTTCCACAGATGATAGATACGCCACTGATATATAAGATATGTAGGATTTACCTATTTCATAATATTGAAAGAGTGTTGCTCTTACAGCTTACAGAACAAAGCTGACTTGAAGAGGCATTCTATGAACAGTACAGAACTGTAAAATTATACAGTAACAAGAAAATTAAGTAATTAAAAAAAAAAAGTAATCATGACAGTTTTTAATTTATCTGAATAAGTGTTTGATATTCTTTTCTAGGGTGCCCCTTCAACCTTTGCAGCTTCATAATGACTTCATCTTGGCAAACATCATAGGGGATCAGATGGTTGCATGCCCTTTTCGCAAAGCAGGATGCGATTTCATTGGTCAGCTTCAAAAGTTGGCCTCCCATAAAAAGTCCTGTGACTTTAACCCTGTCAACCTTCCTGAATTTATGTTCAAGGGGACAACAAGTAACCAGGTATTAACACCAGGTAAGGGCAACATGCAATATGCTTCTGTACAATTTAGTCTAGTCTCGAGATTTACAGAATGAATATTATGTACCGTTCATACATTTGATACTGTAACCTCTCTAATTTAAGCCCAGTGGGCTTAATCTCGAGACAAAGCCCTTCTCGAATTGAAGCCCCCTCTTTAGTTTGCAAAATTAGCCTCGAAAAGAAGCCCACCTCGAAAAGCAGACCATTGGCTTCTTTTCAGAATAGCTTGGGCTTCTTTTCGAGATAGTACAGTGCCTACACTGTATTTCAGAAAACATAATAAATTAAAAACAAGCTTGGTTTATACATTAGATGTTGATTTAATGCCAGTTAAATATACTCCATAATACAGATTGATGTTATAATGACCTTATTTATTGTTCAATTGTACAATTTCACAAAATTTACAGCATTTGTTTTGAAAAGAAGCCTCCCTCTTTACTTTGCAAAAGTAGTCTCGAAAAGAAGCCCATCTCAAAAAGTAGCCCATCTCGAAAAGAAGGTTCGCAAAAATGAGAAGTCCAGGGCTTCAGTTCGAGGTTTTACGGTATGGTCTCTGTGTTCATAATAAGAATACTAGAGTGCTACCCCAATGTATTCGATGTTCGAAATATGCAGAGCTGTGTATGTGTACCATATATGATGGCTGCTCTAGATTCAGCCAATCATAATTATGCTAAACATCGTTTCAATTGCGCCCTCAACTTAACATTAAAGTTTTGAATACAAATATGTTGAAACTCAAGCATTGCAGTGTTTTCACTTAGCCTCTTTTTGGCTACAACATTTTAATAATTTATTTATATTATTAATATAATTAAATAATAGTCGGAGGGCTTATTTATGGTTATAATATATGTATCATAACAAGATAGCGTTCTCCACGACTTCTGCGTGCAAGTTCTGTAATAACGCACTGTAGGCCGCCCTCTTGCAATTACAATTACTTTTAAACTTTGATATCTGATTTACATGCACATTTTGGAACAGCCACGGTAAAATCTAGGATGCCCTCTCTCAATTACAATTACTACACTCCTGCTGTGCCAAACCGCTTCCACATATATAAAGTAGTAAACAGTTTAATAATTTGAATGCCTGTGCAGTGATGGTGTGCTTGCTTTAGTTCTTCACTCTTTATCATCATTATCTTCTTGTATCACTTCCTATGACAGGGCCTAACAAGGATGGCAACAGCATACTTGGAGATGGTGAATCGCTACCCACGCCAGCCAAACCATCACTGAAGATGCGTCTATTCCACAATGGAGGGGGTCAGAGGGATTTATTACTTTCAATGTTTAATAACAAAGAAAATAAAAATACATGATCTATGTGGTGACTATAATAATGATGATGATTACAATTACCAAAACAGGGTTGTACACCCCTAGTTGTAGAAAATTAAGGGTGGGGTGACATTTTAAGGGTGGTTGTGTGGTAAGTGGGTTAATAATGGTTAAGTGGAGGACCATGAAATTAGCTTTAGACTGGGTGGAAAACTTCAAGTCTGGGTGGCCCCGCCCACCATTAGCCCCGCCCACCATAACTACATACTGTACAACAACAAATGTGGTAATAAATCAAACAAATAATAATGATTGAGACACTCAAATATCCTTATACATGGAAAATAATTTTTAATATTTTTACAAACATACATATCTCACAGTTTTCAAAATCAAAAGAATATATATAATTTTGAAATACAGTAGTTTGGATGTTAACCATTGGCATTCAAATGTTGCCATTATAAATCAAGTTAAAAAATACATTTTAAATATATATTTTACAAGATATATACTTAAATTTAATTTAAGTGTGAACACTGTAATTCATTACTTTAATGTGCTACAAAGTTGAAGCATTCAATGCCAGGAAAAAAAATCAATTGGTAATCAATTATTTGAATGTTACAATATCACACTTCAGAGTGTGTGATAACAAGAATTTATTAAGTACAAACATTGTGAAGCATATCACTAAACAAGTTAAATATTTCAAATCAATTTCAATGCAAGAATTATATGTGATCACTCATCAAATAGAGTGATATCTTTCATAAAGATACACCATCAAAAAAAGCGTCACATAAAATGTGATGGAACAGAGTTGAACACGTTCAACTGTTTTTGATACAATTTGATAATATGATATGACGTCACTGTACCCATATATGGGCACATCACATTCTTTGTCCACACTATCAAATTTGTATGATGTGCCCATATTTAGGCATGATGATGTCACATTACATATATTTGACACATGCAATGTAAATAGATAGTGCGGACAGGTCTTCAAGTTGTACTTCATCAAGTGTTATGCCCATCCACAGTGACATTTGAAAATCAGGGTTAAGATTTTCCAGGGGTGGCGCCAGGATTTGGGGCTTTGAGGTTTGTGACGAGAGCAAAGCGAACATGAAAATTTGGACAATTTAGGGGTTCCAAAGTGTTATATAATTGATTTAGAGTTAGAAAATACAGACAATTTTTTTTCTCCCCGACAAACTGTGGTTTTTTTCCCCTGGGGTGGGGGGTGGACAGTTCTAGGTCTTACCCCCTTTTTACTGAAGGCCTAGGCCTTTATGATTCATTGTCAACTACTACTCACATTATGTATTTTGGTTGGTAATACAGGACCATAAAACATGTGGACAGGAACATAACTTGATGAAATCTTAAAAAGTTGTGATAACATATGACATTGATATACATTATACAATGGCAAGATTGTAACTGTAAAACATTTTCAAGAAAAATATATGTAATAAATGAAGGGAATAAATTCAGCAGCTTTTAAAAACTTGTTTATAAAAACAAAAGTATTTAAACTTCTTTCAAGATAAAAGGTGTCTAAAATTGTTAATACTCTAATGTTACCTTGGGAAGGGAGTGGTGAAGAGAGTGGGGGATGAAGTGTGAGTAAGATTTCTGATTGTGTGGGTGGCCGTTAAAGCAAATATACTCTACTGCCTTTATTATACTGCTTTCAAGATCATGAGAACTTGTTGATGTTGGAGTAAGAGTTACTGTTTGAGTTCATGCCTATTCCTTGCTCCTGGCAAGAATGTACTTGCTTTGTTGAATAAATATCATTACTATCATTAAAACTATTAAGAGCCTTAATATTCCATGTGCTTTGTAACACAAAATAATTACAAAAAGTCACTGAAAAATCTTGTACTTCTCTTTAAATTTATGTGTGCTTTGCCAACACAAGGTTCGTGGATGAGTTATTATTTAATTTATCTTTGTGACAAAATATGGTCATAAAAACCAAACAAAGGAATAATGACCCAGGGTTAATGTATGGTATAATGATTTATTAATTATTAGGTCCTCATTAGCAGTCTTTGTTGAAAGTTGGTTGTATACAACAAGAAAAAACCCACTAATAAAGATTGTCAACGATTTGATCAGGGGAAGGGGCCCCTACTTAACAACCTAATTACTTTGATATCTCATGGGTGGCTAGCTCTGGAAGACTTGAATTCAAGTACATCACTGTCAGTCATAAATTTGATAGTGATCTATCAATAAATTTGATGGGTAGAATAGGGAGAGTTGTTATTTAAGATTTAACAGAGCTTTACAGTTATACAAGAGGCGGTTTAGTTTCCCAACCTCGAGGACGGGGTTTCAATCTCTCGCTGTGTATTTCGATTGTGTCCCTGAGCAAGGCACTTTCTCTGCACTGGGTAAATGGGTACCTGGTGGGGGTTGCCTGCTCCTGCGCTGATTACCAGCAACACTTGTTGACCCAATTATCAGGGAAAACAACTGTGCTTTATAACCTCAATGAAAAGGGGGATTATAAATGCACATGCCAGTACAGGAAAGGGGTGGGATAAAGATAAAGCAATTAAAGGCTCTGAATTCACTGCTGATAGATTGCATGCATTGAGAAACAAAATTAAATTACAGTACTATATAATCTTTACATTTATACACAATTACACTTACATTCAAATTTCAAATATAGTTTAAATATCATTTTAAATCTGTATAAAAATAAGCCTTAAATGTCATTTATATGGATGGATTTTTTTTTGCCGCTACAACTTCGGACATTACAAATTTTATTTAATTCATTTTTTATAAACTTTACTACTATTATGGTCAGGTATTTCAATTCACTTAAACCTGGTTTCGTTAAAATCGATACACTTTCGCTACGGTGTTTTCACAGCAATCGTACTGCGTAACTGTCCCGGATGCAATCGGGAAGGTCCCCTGATTCGACCGAACAATCAGCATCACCGAAAGCTTTCGGCAATAGTGTGTAGCGATTGCATGGAAACAAAGTTTTACTGCTTGCAGCATAATAGTATAAAGCTTTGTCCAGGTTATTAAATATTCTTTGACAAAAAAACTGTTGTATGCCCATATATGGTCATGATATCATGACAAATTTTGTTTATTTCAAATTTGGAATTAGAAATTTGGCTGGGCTCCTGTGGACCCGCAGCGGCAATAATACATCCATGTCCCCTTCCTCGCCTCGCTCTCATGTGAGGGTTATTTGAGGAGCCGAGTAATAAGAGCCGGATTTCAATGGGGGGTTTTTAGCAGACGAAGCAGGAACATTACCTCTTGGCCAAATGCTCTGTTCATCTACGCATGTACAGTATTGTCGCAAGTTTTTGTCAAATCAAATTTGATAGCCTGAACTAGGCTTAACAGTGGACGTGTAAAACTCCTGCAATACTTGACTGAAAACCATAAATACCCTAAATGCTCGAATAAGCGCTGCTGTGCTTATACAATTTTTGGAGGCTTCAGCGCAGCATTTATTCGAGAGCGGCGTTTATAAAAAATATTGGCGTGGCACCTTCCATGCCCAATTAATTGTTACCTATTTCATGTATTCTTGTAGTTCATAAAGAAATGCTTGTGTCTTCACTGTGTTATTTATTCAATTTAACACCGTCTAGGCCTTCATTGTATTTAAAACCCTGTTTCTCAAAGCATTCCATTACACACATGGTAATATATACTCTTGATTAAGTGCTACGGCGCTTAGCGAAAAAAAATTATGTTTGGCACACGCTTATTCGAGAGTGGCGCTTATTCGATCATCTACAGTATGTTAAACACAATAACCACTTTAATAATTCTAATTAAAAAACTTGAAACATTGTATTTATCCATTATATTACTGATTAATAATCTAACTTGGTGCTTTTTTTAACTTGCATATTTTTTACTGAATCTAGGAAGTGCTATGGGGTAACTGGTTTGGTGCTAACAATTGTTACCATTTTCACACCTAAACGTTAATAGACTGTAAAGTTATGGTAATTCATTCATCTATGTTGTACGATGTAGAAAACATCATGATGTGAAAAGTATTGGAAAAATTTTTTTACCACAGACTGTAATTATTAGGTTGTTGAATATTGATGGCAGGGAAATGGCAGAAGTTAAATATGGTGGTTACATAACGTGTCCTTCAATAATACCTTATGTTACCTAAAATTATAATCTTGCACATACTAATGGCCATTTTCTCGCACATGATGCCAAATTTTCTAAAAATTCTAAACCAAATTATTTGTTAAACAACACCACCAAAAAAAAAATGTTGGTTTTCTTGCTTAGCCAAGAATGAATACATCAAGGGCGTTATTTATCGGTTACCAATTTTCTGACATGTTGGCATCCTTACATGAACAAAAAAAAACATTAGTGTAGGCAGGGTGGTGCAAAAATTTAAAGTGCCACCAGGGGAAGATTTAGGAAGGGGGAATAAGGGATCCGCATTTTATTGGTTGGTAGCCCTATTATTATTAAATAGTGGCATTTATTCAAGAGAACAATATCTCTAACAAGCATTTTATTCCGGAACGACACTTATTATCCAGCAAACTGATCGACTGTTGCATAAGAACCAGTACAACTGCTGCCTTTTATGGAAATAATAACTAAATTTTATCATTAGATGGATTGAAAGTAAAGGAAGACCATTGAAGAAAAGAAGAGAAAGACGTGGAAAAGAAAATAAAAAAGAATGAGAATTAAGGATAAAGTTAGATGAGACAGACTTAGTGGGTTCTTATATCAATAACTGAAAAAAATATAATAAATACAGGTGATGAAAGATTCTTAAATAAAAAAGAAATGTAATATAAGAACTTTTGAACTATACCTATCAGTTTTAATGTTCTTGTTTACAATACAGTGATTCAGAGGCTATGGATAATTATATCACTAAATGAAATATTTTTCCAATAAACTCAGCCTTCACTAACAATCTTGGTAATCATCAAAGTTCATGCTAGAAGATTACAGAATTAAAACTTGGATGTCAACTTGATTCTTCTCTTGACAAGCATACGGAATAATAGGTACAGAGACAGACAACTGGTGATGGAAATCAAAATGGCTCTCAAAAACCATGAGAAATAAATTTTTTTCGAGGTGTAGACAGTATACAAGCACATTCTTGTAACTTCACAATTTACAATTAAACACACATGTTTCAAAATACAGTTTCAGCCTCTTTGGCCCTGAAAGGATACTGAGTAAAAACTACCAAATATGGAGTTTCTATATTGCATATAGGCCTGGCACAATTTGACCAGAAAAAACATCAATTTTTTTCATCCTGATCTTTCTCCGATGATTCATCTTTGTCTTAGCCTTCTGAGGCTTGTTCTGCAAGTAAGAATACGAATATGTGAAAGCATCTCAGATCTAATAACTATTCATGACCTTTTGCCATATAGTAAGCAGCTAATTTGCATGCAGGTGGTGGACTGTTAATGTGCTTGCAGGTGAAAAACCGAGATGGCCATGAGGTGGTGATGAAAACAAAGCAACTCTGAAGTTCCCAAAAAGAAAAAAAAAAAAGTTCCCAAAAAAAAAAAAAAAAAAAAACCACACCAGAATAGAAAACCATGAGAACAAATGAAGATAAACAAAATTGCATTCAACAACTTAGTGTGCCTGCTACTAGGGTGAACTAAAGAAACCAAAAGAACCAGAACATAGTATCATGCATGCATGCAAAACCAGAATATCAGTATCATGCACTTACTAACCAAAAACAGTTAGTTTAAACTTTTTATGTAAGTATAAAAAACTAGGTTACAATTTGATTTTGTTAAATACTGTCATTTGTAAAGTTAGGAACTTAAAAATCAATTAAAAAAAGCTTTAAGCTGGGGTTTCAGAATGAGAGGGGTCGGAAGGAGGATGAACAGTATTACAAAAGCTTTACTTTGCCTATTGGAATACCTGTGGTAGAGTCAAACTGTAATGAATTAAGTATTGTATTTGCAATCTTGCACTTGTGCTTAAAGTAGGCTGGAAAATCTGGGTCGTCGGATTGGCAATGTTTTTTTAACTACTGACCTACGCTGCTTAATTTTAGGGTCCAGCAATTATCACCACTCCAATCATGTATTTTGGTTGATAATATGGTAATCATGAGGCTAAAACCCTGGTTAAGATATCAACAGGGATGGCGCCAGCATTTCCCGGACAGGTGGTCCAATTTCCCCAACAGGTTGGGGCTGGCAAAAAAACCAGAATAAGGTTTGTCACTTCTAGATGCCCAAATATGGGACCCTCGGCGTGCAGTCCCTGCCTTAGAAAAGATTCCTAATTAATTTTTCCCAACAGATTTAACCACAACTACCCAACGGCTGGGCCCAGACATGCTGGCGCAACCCCTGGATATCAAATTAATTATTTAGTGCAAAATGATTTATGCACTTCTTTTTGGTCAAAAAATAAAGTTAGCCAGGTATGGGCAACACTATTTTTTGGCCTTAAATATATCAAATCAAATACACACTACATCAAGAGTATGTCCATGACAGAAGTTAACACTTTTGCAAAATGTATTAAATGTGTTAAAGCTGATACTTAGTAGTTCATCTTTGGCTTAAGTATGTGAAAGGAAATCATAATAAAAGTAAGAGTAATACTAGTGCGTTAAATGAAAAGCAAAAATCCACTTCAAACGTTGCTGTTATTTTTGAAAACTCTTAAATGTAATGAAAAGCAAGTATTCACTGCAAATGTGTTTGTCTATGGTTTTTTTTAAACCATCTTGACTATTGTTATGCTGCAAGTGGAAAGCAAGAATCAACTTCAATCAAAGTTATTTAGTTTTTGAAACACATCCGAATATTATTATGCTATTAGTATATGACTTATATTATTATAATGAACAAATTAGAAGAATAAAATTAATGATTATAATAATAACAACAATTAATCATAACTATTAAACCCGTATTTGAAGCATACAAACATTCAGTAAAATGTCGCATTTGATTTAATTTTTCAAAAAAAGCATACAACATAATAATATTGAAAATATTTTATATTCAATGCAGCAGTGAATTTCCCATGCACTACACTATATATAAATGTACATCATGCACTTAAAAAGGGTATTCTAAATTACATACTCATATACATCTCTTATATTGCATATAATCCCATCCCACATTACTGTATAATATATATCACATCATGTAATCATGAACTATTGCATATTTACCGTCATGCACTATTGCGTAATCATGCACTATTGCACATTCCTATGGTATTGCACATTCATACATTGCATATTTCCCAGCATGCAATTTTCGATCATGCACTATTGCATATAAATGCAAAATGTCATGCACTTTTACCATCATGCAACAATAATTATATACTTGCATCAGTGCATAAGTTTATGTCTTTGGTATATTTCATCATCACCCACAACAAACTGCATCTGATCACACCATCATTTTTTGATGCAACACTACTCTTGGAATGTCCACAATCGGACATATCAAGTCATTCAGCATAAAACAACACAACACAGTGCTATGAAGGGTCAGGCTTAGTTTCAACATCTCCACTCTCATCTTTGTCTTTCTTTTTGTCTTTTTTCTTTTTCTCTCCATCTTTCTCCTTATCTTTTTTCTTTTCTCCATCTTTTTCCTTGTCTTTCTTCTTTTCCTTCTTTTCTTTCTTCTCCTTCCCTTCCTCACCATTTTCTTTGTCATCCTTGCTCTTCTTTTTCTCTTTCTTACCCTCTCCCTCCTTATCTTTGTCTTTGTCTTTATCTTTCTTCTTTTTCTTCTTCTCTCCTCCCTCCTCTCCATCTTTTTTCGCATCATCCTTATCCCCTTCATCTTTCTTCTCGCTCTCAGACCCTTTATCTGATTTTTTCTTTTTCTTTTTATCATCTCCTTCATCACTTTTATGTTTATCTTTATCTTTATCTTTCTTATCTGGTTTCACACCTCCTTTATCCAGTTTTTCCACCTTTTTCTTAACATCTTCCAGTATGTACTGTAGATCTTGTGTTTCTTCCTTGCGCTAGTGGAGTGAAAGAAATGAGAAAAGAACAGACTATGTCCAATTATTTGTTTAAAACCTATATTGGATTAAATCCAAAAAAAAAGAGTAACACCTGTATTTATGACATCAGTGGCGTAACCACGAATCATGGGTCCAGGGGGCAGGGGAGAAAGTGTTGGGGGGCCATACATTTTACTATTTGATTACAAGTGTGAAGAAAAGTCTGTTCTAAAGGTTCTTTTAGATGTTCCAAAGTCAAGTTTAACATCTTAATTTTACTCTTGACTTTGGATCATCTAAAAGAAATCTTTAGAACACACTTATCGTTTGGGTCCAATGAATTTATTCAATAATTTAAGTGTGATGAATGTTGCAGAGGTACTCCCTCCCATGGAGTAAAATATCAACAATACCATAGCCTGTTATTTTCTAGGGTATAACTTGATTTGTATTCAATCTCTGTGAATTTTAGTAGCCATTTATTTATTATTTCACACTCTGTTTTTAATCTTTGTTTATAGTGGAGCCCAGCTGTGGTGATACCTTTGGGTCAGGAATTGATATTTTATAATAAAAGACAAACAAACAAACAAAAGAGTTGTCATTTGAGTCCATGCTGGGGTATTTGTGAGTTAAAAACTAAATTAAATTAAATTGTTTTAATTTGTAGTTTGAGGTGTCTTTTACGGGACCTTTATGTCAAAGTCTCTGTTAGAAAAGTGCTTTGTATTAGCTGAAGTGCCCTTTGGACTTGGGGACCCCCCTCCTCCGAGAGCACATAGGCATCTTAAGTCCATGTTGAAATAAACCCCAAAATATGTCCAAGTTAATAGTTTGATACATAAATTTATATATATTCATTTGACATGGCTCCAACAACATCAACCGCACTATAAAGCTGGGACATTTAACAAAAAAAAAGCATTAATATTTACAATTTCATTTCTTTAAAAAAGCAAATGTATAATGAATTTTAAGTATTTTATCAACTGATTTATAGCAAATTGTGGATCTGCAATCAACCAAATTCAATTAAAATTAATACGTACTGTTTCTCATTAACTAACACTCTGACCGCCAGGGGTTTGAAAAAACATAGTATCAGCCACCACCAGACTTTTTAGCAAATTTTAACACTTTTCCGAAGCTCGTTGAGAGTGTGTATGTGATCAGATTGGCATGTAGTGAACACTACAAGATCTACAAACATGTTAGCTTTACAATGGTACCAAATATTTTATTCTAATTACAATCTGTGACCCGTAACAGTAAAATGAAAATGACTCACTTTTGGTGGTTTACGCAATTTTGCACAACGAAGCTGAGATAATCGCGATTTCGTGAAAGTAAATCAATACCACACAACGCTAATGTAAACAAACAAATAGCGAAATACATACGGTCCAGACTGAATATAGTGTTCAAATTGTTAGTACATGTCAGTTATTACCCCATCTATCGGATTCCGTACAAAATCCTGAAACATGGAGATCTACTCCGTGTTTGGTGGTCAAGCGTTGCATCACCAAACATGGAGATCTCCGTATTTGGCGGGCAGAGTGTTAAGTATCTTGGATAAATGAAGGCAATGAGTGGGAAAATCCAAAGCGATGCACACATTATCAAATATTGTTTGACAAAAACATGTGATATGCCTAAATATAGTCATGATGATGTCATATCATGACCATATATAGGCACACCATGACTATATATGGGAATAAAATTGTAATTTCAACTATACCTGTTTCTCCTCTTTCTCTATCTTGCGTGATAGATGAAGTTTTACAGTGTTAACAGTACCGTCTACTTTCGATATCTCTTCTTTCATCTGAAATAACAATATTGTATTATTAAAATATTCATACAAATTATTCAAAATGTTATTTTTATTCATTTTTAGGCAGTACAAATCACAGAATCAACAAAGTAAGAATATCTTTTATGAAGTTAAGACAGGTGTGTAGGAGTTCATCTAAATACTCTTTCTGAACCAAAATTAGAATTAGAAAGAAACAGATTGGACACATTCTAGTTCAAGTGCCTTTAGAAGGATTATGAAAATCGGATGGCCATATATTGTATCCAACGATGACATTCTCACCGGAAGCGAATTAAAACGAATCAGTGTGGTAGTACAGGAAGTAGATACAAATGGATTGGACATGCTTTAAGGATTACTTATAATAGCCACTACATGACGTGGGCTCAAAGGAAAAAGAAGAGTAGGACGCCCCCCAAGACGACAAGGAGACGAACCATAGAGAAGGAGAGAGAAGTGCTGGGATGGAGAAGTTGGATGGAAGTCAAGATGATAGTCTGAGACAAAGTACGCTAGAAAGATGATATTTCTGCCTTTTTAAACATATACATACATTACATGCAAAGATTTTATTCCGACACGTCTACACCACAGAAAAAAAATACAAACATCATGCAAAAACTAAGGTTAAAAACTACATAAAAACACCTATTCACATTATTAAGTACATACAGTTTGCCAATATAGATGTGACATAACATTATTATGTCCATAAATACACAAATCAAAGTTATGTCACATAAATTCTTTAAGAGTGTGGACAGCGGTTAAAGATTCTCTATCTGAGTTTTAACTGCTACTGCCAACAACTTGAATTGTAATTCATATTAAATGTGATACCACGACTTTTTGGCCCAGAAAAATACTGGTACATTTAATTGGTCTTTGTGTAGGGGTGAGCTTTAATACCCAATGAACTACAACATTAAATCTTTGTTTTATGTTTATTAAGGTCAACAAAGAAAAACAGTTGTACGGTACTATAGCAGCCCAGTGTAGCCAAATGCATCACATTTGAAAGTCCTTATCCAAGAAGACTTGGTTCTACCAATCAAATTCTTGGATGAGGCCAGGCTTGAACCTGCACCGATGTTAAGGCTATAGTTAGCGGCACTCCTGCCTTATTGCTTGGAAACTCGACTTGTACAAATATTTACCTATTTTATCATTAGCTACTACTTGTAATTTATGAACTTTTAGGTTAGTATGAAATAAAAGTATAACTTTTGTATATATAATGTTGACATTGAATATATTTTTTGAAAAATAAAAGACTTTTAAATACACTCAATAATATAATGTGCTACAAACCTCCATAAACTTTCCACGATACTGATTATGCAAGTGGAGGAGGAAAAAAAGAAATTATAAGAAATCTCGAAATTATTGTCATAAAAAAATCCCATAAAGATAAATCCATATATAATATTTCATTATTATGAGAAATTGTGGAAAAGACAAGCCAAACCAGTCACTCGTCGCAAAATCGTGTTTCAGACAAAATGGCCAAAACATGTTTAAAAATAAATTTTATTGCAATAAACAAGCTTTATATATCTGTACATCATGCTGCTGTTATTTTCCCCATTTTCAAAGTTAAAACAAAAATTTTTTTTAGGATTTGATGATAGTATTTGCACGAGAAATGCCCAAAATCATAAACTTTGAAGGCTGATCCCTCATATATTGTTCTTTAAACAGCTGTAAGTTTAAACACTTGCAACTTCATAAGGAAATGTCGGATTTGAATGATTTTTTACCACTGTATAGCTCTTATGTTATTCTTTAACCCAGTATAATTGATTTTTGCGACGAATGAATGGTTTGGCTTGTCTTTGCTACAATTTCATTTTGTTGTAAATTGCATTACGAATTAAACCCAGAATTTATGGAATGTAAAGCTATAAGGCACTTTAAATGGAGTTGTCACCTACTTATACCAGAATTAATAGAGATATTTTCTCACAACCAAAACAGCTTCAATCCCTAACATCATATTGCTACATAAAGCACCCGGTATGCAGGGATTTGCATCTCTTTAAAAAGTATCTAAAATTGCTGATTGGCAATTCTTGGCTCATGTGTAAAATAAAATATTAAATATTAAAAATACAATTTGTCACAATTCCTCTAGAATAAAAACAAATTAAATTAAAAAAATGCCAAGTAGAGAATAATTTCAAATCATGAGAGTAAGCATAGTTAATATGTATCAGTGTTTGTCTAATAATCTGTCTTGACAATAAAATTGTATGTGACAAAAACATGGGACATGCCTAAATATGGTCAAGATGACATCACATCATGACCATATATAGGCACATCATTACTATATATGGGCATACAACAGTATTTTGTCAAATAAAATTTGCTGGTCTGAAAAGGGTTTATAAGTTTTGTAAGGGTCAAACCTCTCCTTGTGAGAGTGTTTCTCTGTTATAAATGAGTGAGCCAATTAAATTCTGTCATATGTAGGGTGATGAGCACATTTCTAAGTGATTAACATGTAATTTTAAGCAAGTTGTCTAAATTCTCTTTGAAACTATCAACAAAAAAAGGACGATAAACTCACTTTGTTAACCTCCGTCTCAAGGTAGGACATCTTATCCAAGGTTCCTTGGTCTACTTTGCCTCCACCTTTCCCGGCAGCCATCTTTTCCTTCTGAGAGATTGGAATAGCCGGCATTGGTGTCGTTGCCCCTCCAGCACTCATTACGGCTGCCTTGGCCGCAGTCATGTCTGTCTGTATCTGCTTGTACTTGGCATCCAGGTCAGCCCGCACCATTTGAACGTCACGTATCCTGCAACGATGATGAATAGTTTCCCGTTAAACTTTTTATTATTTAATTATTTATTTTACTCCATTTTAAAATTTTCAATACTTACTACTTAATATATTTGGGAGAAGCACATCTCTAAGACGACAGTGGTTTCGCTTTTGCTGCTCCCTAGCTTATCTATATTCTATATGTTTGTCTAATTTTTTTTGTATTTGTAATTTTTTTTTTTTTTGCCGGAATGAGTAAATCATTTAAATCTGACATTTGATTATGAAGTTACAGAGTTTAAATATACAGCTGTTTAAAGAACAATATTTGAGAAATCAATCTTCAAAGTTTATGACTTTGAAAATTTCCCAGGCAGAAACCATCACAAAATCATTAAAAATTGTTGTTTCACCAAGCTATTTACCACCACTCCATATGAACAATTTTGTGATGCATAGTATGGGGTACGTGGGCTCCGGCCTAAGGATTTGAGGGCGGTAAAATAGAAGCAGTAGAGTATATATATTGGCTCTAACGGCCGCTCATACAGAAAAGATTTATTAATCAATCAGCCAGGTGTTTCTAGACTTCAATCAGATTTATCAATCAGTCGGGTTTCTAGAGCTCCTCATCGGAGCTAAAAATCAGTGTTTTCAATCATTCTAAAATCTATACTTTAATAATTGGTATACTATACCCTGAGGGAAAATTTTGCATTTTATTGTCTTTTTACCTTTCTTTCTGTTCATTCTCCACCAATCGATTCATGTCTTCTTGCATTGATTCATTTGCTTTATTCATCCTTTCAATCTTTTGACAAAAATAAGATGTGAAAGACATGAATATTCATATACTAATTGTGGCAAAGACAAGCCAAACCAGTCACTCGTCACAAAAATGGATTTTTAATTATTAATACAGGATTAAACAGTAAAATAAGAGCTATAAAATGGTAGAAGAATCATTAAAATCCGACATTTTGTTATGAAGTTACAGGAATTTAAACATACAGCTGTTTAAAGAACAATATTTGAGAAATCAGCCTGTTTCAGGCATTTCCCAGGCAGAAACCATCACCAAATTGTTAAAAATTGTTGTTTTAACATTAAAACTGGGGAAAATAAAAGCATAGCATGATGTATATTGATATATAAACGTTAGTTTAGTGAAATAAAATAGATTTTAAAAATTTTGACACCCCAGCATGTTTTGGTCATTATCTCTGTTTGGCTTGTGTTTGCCACAATTGTAGATTTGGAAATGGATAAATTGTACTATCATAAATGAAATAACATTGGAAAATGTTTAATTGTAAATTATTCACTTTTGTGAAGACACCTTGGATAGTAATTCTGTGTATAGTACATAAAAGTATAATTTAATATTAATAATTATTAATAAATAACATCACTAAAATAACAAGGACAACAGTATTAACTCCATAAACAAATAATTATTAATTTTTCTAATTTTGAGCATTTTTTTTTTAGCCTTTTCATGTCTAAATCCCCCACACAATATAGGAGGTTGGAGCGGCTCACCTCTGGTTCGAGGTCATCCATTTTTTCTTTGATTTGTTTAAGTTTACGGTCAGCTCCAGCCTTCCAGTCTTCAATCTCTTCAATCATTGTCTGATGTTTTCTCAGAGACTTCTTAGCTTCCTGTAAATATAAAGAAAATCACAGGCTAACAAATGGACCTTTGTGGAGTAACTGCGCCATTGATCATTTTTTTGGAATTGGTACATATGACTACGTTCAGACTCGGAGATAAGCGCGGCTCAAGGTTAAGCCTGGCTTAACTCTGCCGGCTGTTCGGACTAACTGGATTAGCCTGAAGTTAGATTTGCATATTCAGGAACCAGAACAAGGAAGTTATTTTCAAAACATCGCGCGCCAGTCGTACGTTCAGTCACAGCAGACGTAATTGAATGCTGATTGGTTAATTTTTTATCCAAGGTCAAAGCGTGACCCCCCACACAACGATTAAAGCCTGGCACAGAAAAGCCTAGTTACTATAGGAACAACTAATACCCGGCTTCAGATAAGCCACCTAGTTCAAACTGGAGGGTGCATAAACTGATGAGTTTAGCCAGGTTTATCCACCTTAGTCGGAACTAGGCTAAATTAGTATTTGATTATTATTCTTATTATTACTGTTTATTATACTAAACTTGTATATAGAGAAACACAATATGAATTAAGCTGCCAGTATCGGTACTCTGCAATATTCATCTTTAAAATAAGGCGTATTACACCCATCCCCACCCCCTTAGAAGGTCGTGATCGGTCACATATTATTTTATATGAATGATGACAACGACAATGAAACTACTACGATGAAATTTCAATATCGAAAACAGAGTCTGTCGTTCTAAATGAACTTAAAATAAATTTGATGGATGGATTTATTCAGTGGTAAGGATAACCCATGAAAGTCTAAAGAATACTTATTTCCAATGGGGTCCTTATGGGGTCCTTCTGGTGGTGATTGGCAAGTACCCCGGGAGACAATCCACTACTCTTTTCCGAATAGTGTACTGCGTTCTTCAATATGCACACAGGACATAATGCACACAGGACCAACAGCTTAAAAACGTCTCTGATGATGTAACTAATTTTTTAACAAATGTTAAAATCATGTTGCTTAATTACTGAAAGGCAAGTAATAATTGAGTCAGCCTATATCTGAGGTACAAAAAGTTGGATATATTTAAAAGTATAGTAGCTTACCTCTTTAGAATCATCATCCATGACCTTGGCCAGAACCTGGAAAATTTAAAGGTCAACCAACAATAAAATCATTAAACCGATCAATAAAATTTGTTTATGTATTTAACTTACAACACTTAAATTTTAAATCAGGAAGATTTTGCAAGCTTACGAAAACGATAACGAATATAGTTAAGTCATCAAATTTTTTTTAGTAAATCCATCTCCTACATTAGCATATATGAATCAACGATCATATTATTCAGCTTGTAAATATATAAATATTTCAGGCACAAATGACGATAAATAATTGTGGAACCTTCATACAAAAAGTATGAACAAAGGTTTGAACAAAGAGTATACATTAACATAGTTTAGTAGCAGTCATTAAGTAATAAACATTTTAAAGAGTGAAAAAAGTCAAATAAATAACTAGTTTAAAGAATGGTACTGATTCTAAGATTTTTATTATGTTTATGAAAGTGACTCAACACTGAAGTAAAATTACTATTTGTCAATGGATTTAAAGCCCTATCTAGACAAATTTTATTTAAAAAAAATAAGTGACATGACCATATATAGGGCTTGTAATGAGTAAGTCAAATAAATAACTAATTAAAATAAATGGTGCTGATTTTAGATTTTTGTTATGTTAGAACTATTAGTAATTATCATAAGAATCTGGCAGTATTGTATGCTTTAGTACAGAGAAGCTGTAATACTTTTACTCATAACTTTGGCAAAAGTAAGTCAATTCCAGTCAATGACCAATCAATTTAAAGCTAAAAATGTGCAGGATTGCATCCAGGATTTTTTTTTGGGTGGGTCGTGATCATAATTTTTTGCACCTTTTCACAATGAAATAACACAGCATGATGTGATTAAAATTTCAATACAATTTATGTTTTTTTTATAAATTACTGGAATTGAGATATATTACGTCATGCAATTGACAAGGTCTCATTGCTGGTACCTCATCAATGCTTTTTCATTTATGTCATTGTGAAAACCCAGAAAAAAAATGTCTTTTGGAAACAAGTGTGGACCTTTGACAATTTTTGGTCGTACAACTTTCCCGACCCCCACTTACATACACCCATGATGTGGAGAATAAGAATATACTAAAAAGTAAATTTTCATTGTTTTTGTCAGTGTATGATGCTGGTTTTTAGATGGCCGTCTTATATAAGCATACAACTATCAATTTTTTCAAATAAAATTTGATAGCATATACAAAACTTTGTGATTATCCAATGTACATGTCCAAAATATACTTCTTTTGCAGCCTTTACTGTCTTTAACCTGGAAAGGCATGTAACTCACCTTGGCAATTTGGGCTTCAGAATGTTCATCTTGTAAATTTATTTTACTTTGTAGAGCATTAACCTTTGCATCCAGGTCAGCCACGCCCCTTGTATCAGCTCCCTTATATTCCTCAAGCATCATCTTAAGTTTGTCTTGATACTGTCATAGAAAACAAGAAAGTGATTGACCAATGGCACGAATCAATGTTACAAAGACAGCCAATCAGAGAGTATGATTTCAATTAAGAAGCATTTACCTGTTTGAAAAATAAATGATGATAAGGACAGCACTTAAAACACAAGTAACAAACATTTAATAAACTCTTTTATCCAAACTTTTACAGGTGGAGGAGAGATCAAAACTAGAGCCCCTAGCTTAAAAGCGAGACATTGTTTACACCTTGTTTCACAAACTTATTTTTTTTTAAATCGTCAGAGGAGGGCAAAGACATTCTTTTTTAATTGTTTTTTTATTTAGCAAATAGATTTGCCAAAAACATCCAGACGAAGGAGTAAATAAAAATAAAATTTTATTCATAAAACAGTGTAGTAAAGAATGGTATATGCTTTAAATTTTATTAATTGGGAAGAAATATACATATTTTATTTTTGAGGTTTCAAGGCATTCTGAAATTTCCATTTTTTCGTGGCGACGGTTATGCTAATTGTCCAAAAATAAAATTTTTTTGTTATTAAAAAACATCATAATTGGCGGGCAGTGATTTCGCTAAACAAGGTATAAAAAAATGATCGCGGTCAACTTTTTTTGATACAATTTGATGATATGTGATATGACATCATCGTACCCATATATGGGCACATGGTACCCATATATGGGCACATGGTATCCATATATGGGCACATGGTACCCATATATGGGCACATGGTATCCATATATGGGCACATGGTACCCATATATGGTAACATCACATTTTTTTGTCACATAAAATTTGATAGTGTATAGACACAGCTTCATAGGTGCCCATCTCTTTTTCCTGTGTAAATGCTGTTTAGGGGTATGGCACTCATATCGCACATTGAGCTTCCTAGCATGTACAGTCTTCTTCAGGAGACCAAATAGGAATTAGTCCACTGCGTGGATGGAAGATTTGAGTGTATTCAATTTGTGATCATCTGTAGAGCAGGGGTCCCAAGTTGTGAAAGTCGAATTCCGGGAGAATTTGTTGTGCGGGACAGGCAGAGGTTTGCGACACGTGTAAATAGCTAAACGCATGTACAAGGACACATGTTTAGTTCTGATAAAAAAAAACCATTATCCATGCTCGGCTAAAGATAATTAACAAATAATTTCAGTATCATCACACAAGATTCTAATATATTGGATCTGTTGTTTAATGATTAATTTCACAAAAGTAATGATGGTAGTCATAAAATCGACTCGGGTACTATGGAAAACACTGCCTAAGAATACAAATATCAGTAGATGCAATCTGACCAAAGGTGTGATTAGAAGCTATATATATTCAGACCAATCACAGCAGAGAATTCTATGTCAATCATAAAGCAATACTCACATCATTAGTTGCTGTCATGACCTGTTCATTGATTCCTCCAATAGCCTGCTGCAATGTTGATATAGCGACGCCCAGTTTTTCCTGTACGTCCTCAATCTTGGTCTCAATCTGTTTATCCTGGTTTTGTCTGGAAAAATACATGAAATGTAACAATGGGCTTATTCGACTGGTTCATTTTGTTGAAAACGATTTTTTGTTGCGTATTATAGGCCTATTCATTCGTAAGATAGACTTTGTTGACAACAGAAAAACATAAACCAGAGTGCATTCATTTGTTCATGTTTCCAAAACAAACATGGCTGATTGGACAGTTTAGCAACAACATCTGCGTTAATATAATTTAGATTAAATTTCAGAAAATAATAATTATAATATTTACACACATCAAAAAAAAAATTATTGTAGGCTAACAGAAGAAAAAAAATATTTGTATAAACGATAAAACCCAACTACCACAAGTCAAAGCGACCTTGATTACGCAAGCATGTATCACGGTAACTGCGCAGCCATTTTGTTTTGTGAAGTATACCACTTTTGTATATACCAGTTTTCCATTCGTCTGGTCGTCTTCGTTACGTAGGATTTTACCATTGCGCAGGTAGGTGTGGTTTAACGAAGGACGACCAGTCGAATCCAATCCAATCCGATCGGAACATTTGTGAAGCGCCTTTCTTTGCAGATATGAAACGCTGCACCCCACATATTTAGGCACCTCACAACCCACAAGCAGCAGTGATCATTGCCTAACCCAAGCACAGAACAAGTAAACAAATCAAAAGAAGCAGTGGCACAGTTTGGAATCATAAATAAATAATGCAACAATAAATAAATACGGCCATTGCTTTATTAAAGCAATGGCAAATATCCAGGCCTACCAAGTCTCACATACCGTGCATGAGAATCACAATTTTGAAGCCTCTCTCAAGCTCTTGCAAAAATCTCGTGCATAAAAATGTAATATTTCCAACAAAAAAAAAATTGCAGGCACATAGCTTTCCCATTTAACATACATCAAACTTCCCTTTCTAATTTACCTAAACATCGTTCTTACATAATAATTTCTATCTGACTAGCTGGGAGTATGTCGCTGCTTTATCAAGCTCTGTTAAATTAATGGTGTGCGTGGCAAGCTCGACAACAATTGAAAATGGATTATTTTCAAAAAAAAATTTTCCTTTCAAATCTGACAACTTCACATAACTTTAAAATGTTGTTAATATGTAGTTGATCTTTATACAACATCAGAGGTGTTCTCCATACCAAAATTAATCTTACTGATTATGAAATACCTTATAATATAATAATATATACCTAATAATGGGAAAATACCATTAAAGTAATACTGTATAGATTTAATCTACCTCATAGCACAGTTAGTAATGCAACCAAGCAGTTATTGTAGAAAATTTTTTTAATAAATAAATGAAGAATAAAAAAAATAAAAATATACTTTTTTATCTTTGTCACTGATGAATGTTTTACTTTATACAAAGATTAATTACCGTAGACATTAGGTACACAAAAAAGTTGTTATCACTTCCTACCTTGACTTGATTTCAGCTTTCATAACCTGTTCCAGTTGTTTCTTTGTTTCCGCCTGCATCTTTTCCAATCTTTCCATTGTGTCGCCCACTTTTGTCAGTCCCCCAGCATTCTTATGGCGATCAAGCTGTGGAGAAACAATGAATGAACAAATAAGCACATAGACATTTGTCAACACCTTTGATTTATATTGCAGCCATAGAGAAATATACCGAAACTGAAGCAGGCATTACAGTGATGGTGCCAGGACCTGCCTGACGGAGTGGCGGGGGGGGGGGGGGTGCTAGTGGAGCGAATCGAGTCTTACTTGGCTAGGGCCAGGGGGCCGCCTAGGGCCCCCGGTGGGGGTCAAGGAGGCGAAGCCCCCTGGAAGCCACAGATATTTAACAAATTATGGAGAATTTTTATTATTTTGATAGGCATCGAGTTACTATAATATGACTTCATAGGCTATGTTTTCTAATGTCCAAATCAGCTTCCAAAACCAAAACATTTTGAATAAAACAAGAAACAAAGCGTATGCAATGTAACCATCTAATTTACTTTCAAATCCTCATTCTTGAAAGTGAAATTCTACATTTTGGAGGGGGTATAGTCCCCAGCCCCCTATGGCGCCACCACTGAGGCATTAGCATCACTTGGCCTTGTGTAATACTGTGAAAGCCTTTGGCAACAGCAAGCTATGAATCTGAAGTAAGCTGAATCCAATCAAATTAACAGTGCTTTATCTCTTTTTTATATTTTCTTAAAATTATTAAAGGGAAAATATAACACAATGATATTTGTCAAAATCTTTTAAAAGGAATATTTAAGTTGGATGTTCCAAGAATAGTAGAGCTACGTAAACCAATCTGCATCATCAGTTGTCTTGGAGAAAAAAAGAGGCGCAGATGCGATATGATGGTGAGCTAAAGGTATAAGCATGTATGGCAAAAAGATGAGATTACAATGACTGTCATGAAAAATGTTCCAAGATGTTGATTAAAAGCATTCTATTTACATACACCATAAACATTTTGAAAACGTAAGATATAAACATTTATTACACTAATGCTCTTACAGGTATATAGTTAGAATATTTTTTTCTGGATTCTGGATTCCCAGTCAATGTGGGGACATTGTTATTCTTTGGGATCCAGATAACAAACACTTAAATTACAAATACAAAATTAAATGAAAGCATGAGAGAAGCAATAGTTTAAATATTCAATAACCTCGCATCAAGAAGTTATAGTATAGAAACTTCTTACTCACATACATCATAATAATAGCAACATTTTGACAATGATTTCGAAAAAATGCACATTAAAAACTATGATCACCCTTCTGTTTTTTCATATCTGTTGTAGGTTAACTATGTTTGAAATTTGGTAAATGCTGTGAAATTCACAAAGGGGGTTCAAATTGAAGCTGCATATAGAAAGAGAGAGACCCTACAGTCGAAATTCCTGTGGTATGGTCTATCATGGATGCTTCATACATTAAGGAATGGAGCTTGTTAAAAACATTAAAATTTGATATTTTTCATTGTTAAATTCATTTATTTATCAGTATCTTTCTTTAGCTTTAGGTTCAAGGACCAAGGATGTGTCAAATAGTGAACTTTATCCCACTTCAAAGTGGCAATCCCTTCACAAGACGAACATACAAGATGCTTTACATACACTGTCTTATCATGAGGCTTAAAGAGTGGGGTTGTTTTGGTAGTGAGAAACAATTCTGGTAAAATGACAGGAATTGATCCCAGGACCTCTGGTTTTAGAAGGCAAGCACCTTAACCACCAAGCTATTCAAAAATACATTACTTCAAATTTAATCTATTAGGCAGTATGTATGTAGACATGCTCAGAAACACAGAAATGGCTTTCAAGATTTTTATGTGTAAATGTACATTTCACAAAATTTGAAACGCAAATTGCACATTGAAAGCAAAAGTATGCAATATAACAGGAAGCTGGGGGGTCACGCATCCCCCATTTGCTTGCCTCGGATGTTCTCCTGCTAATTGACTGCTTTCGTTGCATTGCCCGCTGTGTTCTCTGTTAATTTTAGTTCAAGGAGAAAAAATATAGTGAAATTTTCAATTTCAAAGATGAAATCATAATAATTATACAAATGATAAAAACAATATTTTTTAGCTAAAAATTATTAAAATCAAGCATCACATGACCAAAAATACAAAAAAATAAGCTATAATAAAAAATGATTGCCATGGAGAAAGTTGTACAGCATTTCATTTTCACATTCAATGCAGGTAATATTTACTGTATGTCATAAAACATTTTGAGAAAGAATGAATTATTGAAAGAAATCTTTAAAAGATATTCCACACACTGTCAGCTGAGAGCTAGGTTGTATCAGATTCAGTTAACTATATTACAATACAAAACGCTTACATTGTTTAATACCTGAATGAAACACGTCAGTTAAACCCTGAAAACACAGGTATATTTGGAGATGACAGTTGACCCGTATAAGCCGCTTAAAGCAAAATGAAGCTACTGTATGCATACCCAGTGATATATTTAGGGGAAGGGAACCCTCCCCCAAAAAAAGCTAGCATCCCAGTACATACCACATCATCTTGTCTAAATGGAAAACAATGTATCATAATATTATCAACAAATTCCCTGTTTGAGCACCCTACCCTGTTTTCACATTTACACCCTGTTTACCCTTAACCATTATCTGGACTTCTCACACCTAGACTTCTCTTGGCAGGAATATAGACATACTGCAATAGCATATAGCAATAAGCATTTGTCTTATAACACTGCTGTTATAGTGCTATTTCCCTTGTTTATTGTTCTCAAATCTTTACTTTACAAATTAAAGCATACACTTGATAACGAAATGAAATCCATTTGGGCATTACTCTGTTGTGTGTACCATCCAAATTTCCTTTTCTGATATTAATTCTAGTATTACTAATTTATAGAAACACTTTTATGAGACATACTTTTAGAGATTTCCTTTGGTACAGATAGATCTCTCACCAGCCTTGGTGGCACAAGTAACATGAATGGCAACGATACAAGCAATACATTATAGAAATGCAGTGCTCAAAAAATAAACTCTCCTTTAGATAAGCAAAATTTAACCAAGAAAAAAAAAGCATCGTAAATTGCAGACTGCACAGAATAGCGCCAACTGGCACAAGTAAAATATCTTGCCTCATCTTCAGAATCAGATAACATTCGTTGTCTCTTCACAGACCTTTCCAAATTTTCAACCTTGTTCGACATTTCACTTAGTTGTGTTTTCAGCATTTTTGTTGATACTTTCTTTTAGTTTCAAGAAAATCAAAGTTAATTCAAATTTAATTGCGTTGTACTGGTTGCTGCTAATGTTTGTTAATAGTATATGACTCCATGTTTTGTTGTTTTTGTTTTTGTTTCAATTGATGAAGTAAAAAGAAATAATGTCATATATTATAATAAATGTCTATTATTCCATTAAAAAAGAAAACACAAAGAGCATAAACTTCAATGCAAGATAATGCATCATTAAATACAGAACATGTATTTTTACATGGAATACTGAAAAATTTCTTCACAGCATAAGCTTCAATTAATAATTTACGTGTAAAGCATAAATCTTAAAGCTCCTAAATCCCAGCTAAAAAAGAAATTAATAGAACGATTTTATTAAAAAACAGGGGCCTGCCTTCCTAGTTTCCTACAAGTCACAGGAAGTTCCCGCAAAATGGGACGGTCTCCCTCACTCCAACAAGCGAGCAAAAATCTCCTGGAAACTAAAGCCACTCTCAGAAATGCAAGATATTATAGGCCTATGAATTGTTACGACGTGCAACAAAGTAAAAATTATATGTGTTAAGAAAGAACACTCATTTAGCCAGATTTCTCAGAAGAGGCTTCCCTAATCCTAACCTGGGAACCTTGGAATAAGGTTCATGTTTATCAAATTATTGCTGTACATTACATACAAAATAGTTGTAGTGATGCCTTGTGATAAGTGATACTTAATCTCTTCCTGATTATTCTGACATTCTTCTCAAATCTAGTTTACAAACTAAAGCATGTGATAAATGGAATGAAATCCCTACAAACATATTAAAATAAATTCAAGAAAATACCTAAAAAGAAATCTTTCGGAAAATAAATTTCACTATTTTAAAGCACTGAAATTTGGTAAACGACACAGAAAAATAACATTCATCAGCAAAAGTTTAAAATATCAGAATCAGATGACCTTCTTCATTTTATTAACATTATTTCCAACCTTGTCTGACATTTCCCTTATTCATATTTCAGCATTTTTGGTGAATGTTGTTTCACCCATCTTGAATTTTACCCTATATTGTGCATCATTCCATTTTGGCATTATTGGGTTTTGGTGGGAACATCCAAATTTTATTTTCTTTAAATTTTAATTTCTAATATTAATTTATAGATACATTTTTATGAGACATATATTTGGAGATTTCCTATTGTACCTAAGAGTTCTCTCAGCAGGCTTAATGATGACGCATACTGTAATAACATGAATGGCAACGATACAATCAATAATTATAGAAATGCAGTGCTCAAAATATATACTCTCCTTCAGAAAGCAATATTTAACCAAGAAAAAAAAGCATCGTAAATTGCAGACTGCACAGAATAGCGCCAACTGGCACAAGTAAAATATCTTGCCTCATCTTCAGAATCAGAAAACATTCTTTGTCTCTTCACGGACATTTCCAAATTTTCAACCTTGTCCGACATTTCCCTTAGTCGTGTTTTCAGCATTTTTGTTGAATGTGTCTTTTAGTTTCAAGAAAATCAAAGTTAAAAGTAAAACTAAATTCTACTGTACTGGTTGCTTCAAATGTAATATTATGACTCCATATTTTTTTGCTAGGCAATATAAATCAATTCAGCTTTTTTGTTCCTTTCAAAACAAACCATTTCTCTACTAACATAATGTAGTAAGTACTAGATCAATTATACTTTAAAAATGACAAAATAAAAAGAATATAAAAAGAAATGTTATATAAATTATAAAAGATTTGTGAGAATGAAAAATGAAAATGCAAAGAGCATAAGCTTCAATGAAAAATAATGTATCATTAAACATACAGTAGAACATATATTTTTACATGGAATACTGAAAGATACTTAACAGCATAAGCTTAAAAGCATAAATATGATATATATATATATATATATATTATATATATCATATTTCTCACCATGTGTATAAGAGACAGATATATATGTATATATATGATATATATAATATATATATATAT